GTAGTCTGAACAAATGAGAATGATAGTAAGATATGTTAGACAGTGGGGCCATTTGTTTCAATAAAAGGAGAAAGGGGACCTAATTCTCATAATCTCAGACAAGCCTCTGACCTCTCCAGATCTTTTTAATAATACGAATACCCTCATGTGTAAAAGCAACGACTTGAGTTGCATGCTCTCTGAGGCCAATTCCAACTTTATGATTCTGTGACTTTTACAAGACTCATTATAACCTTTACTTCATAAACCAGTCTCACCATTGAAGGATCACACTACTTTTATTTCATTGTCCTGTATAGAAAACATACTTTATAAATATTGGATGGATAATTGAATAAATGGATGAATATCTAGATGTGGTAATATGCAACTTTAAATATCTCTTTTACAAATTGATTTCCAAAGATATACTGTCAAGATAGAATATTAAATCATTCACCAGTTAGAGGGCATATCTTATGCAACCAATTAAATGTTCATTTATTTAAGGAAAATTAATTTACATTTCTGCATAATGAAATAAAAAGGCCAAATTCTAAAGCCAAAAATAAAATACCACCAATCCCATTTGCCAGCAAGTTATCTACCAGTTTCCTAAAAACTTATTATGTAACCATTCAGAAAACTTGCAGATTATGTGACTTGCCTCTTGGTTCATAAATTCAGCAGCTTAGGAGAATTGGCAGGAAGGCATTATTGGGCCATAAATACAGAAGATGATAAAATTATGAGGTCAGTATTTATCATCATATAAAAATGGAATAAATTGAGTCATGTAATGCATGTAATTTAACTTAAAATTGAAAGCTCTAATTCTTCTTAAGATCTGTATTTATTATATTTTTTACAATTAGTATCCCAATGCTTTGGACCCTAAAATATAGAACTTTAAATTTAAGGGATATTGATAATTAATATGAAAAAATATAAGAAATGAGAAGGTAATTCTCTGAAGTCCACCCTCTTGGATAAACAAGCATCTAACTTGAACCCTTGATTGAAAGTTCTGGTATGGAGGCTCTGAACATTACACAAAACGCAGGTAGGCTCTTGGTTTCCTGAATTAAGTGTGGCTGTGATTAGAGTAATGCCAACAAGGCAGAGACAGGGTGGTGTGGACAAGCACTTCCACAGAGAAGAAAGCGTGATGGTGACCTCTGGAAAATGTAGTGGCCACATGAGCCTCAGTGAGATATCTGCACGACTCCAGAGACCAAAAATCCTAAGTTTTTTAAATTGCATAGACTAGTGCCCACATATATACATGTTTAGAGAATCACCTTTCAATTAGCTTTATTAATGTAACAGAACAACCAGTATCCCCAGTCTTTCACGCACATTTTTTTTTTCTATTTCTTTCTTTTTTCTTTTTTTTGAAGACAGTCTCACTCTGTCACCTAGGCTGGAATGGAGTGATTACTCATGCACATTTTATTCTGGAAAGACTTTTATTTCTGCAACATAATTATCTTCTTAGTTTTTTGTGTGTAGGATTAAAATAAAGACAATATACAATCTGCAAGGCAGGTAAATTTGGGTTTTAAAGAGTTAGCTCTAGGATGAAAATAGCTAAATCGCTGCATATATTCATATATTGTTTTTCTCACAGTAAAGTCATTCACTTTCACTCATAGGGCAGTGCTTGACATTGGATCAAGGTGGGATGCAACAGTAATCATTTTGCTCAGAAGTTTACAATCTAGGAATTGAAATATATATGGTTCACTTCATCATACCCTTGCGTGTCTAGATTTGCAACAAAGCCATTTCCCCTTATGCTGTTAGGCATGAGGTGATATTTTCCATTATTTTTTCCTAACACACTGACTGATATTTAAGCAGCATCTCAGATGCTGGGGCCCTTGCCTCCAGCGTCCACCAAACATTGTCTCTTAGGGCACTGACAGCCTCTATGACAAGGTGCAGAAATGGCTAACATAATCTCACATAATTTAGAGAAGTGTGTGGTAGGAGGAAACAATTTCACACTTCATTCACGTTGAGAAACATTTCCTAGCATGTACACTTGCATGCTGCCAAACAGAGCAAAATGGATGCCGTTTGCAGCCTCAAGTCATTTATTTTAAAATGCCATCTATTGGTTTGTGGGGTTTAGAGCTGTCCCTTAGGCACGTTTATTTAGAAGCTTATACAGACTCTTCAGAACAACATAAGATACTCCTGCTCAGGAATGAGTTTTATGAAATAAGCTGTGATTACCTTCTGGTTGTCTATTCATAGGGATGGAGTCAATAACCAGTCTTTCGTTTCAAATGATGATTATACTTGCTATTTTTACAACTCATTGGAAAATTAGGGTGAGGAAGGAATGTAGTCAAAGGCTTTGCAAGGTTCTAAATGTTCGTGGAAATAGATAATACACAAAATAAGTCAGAATACTCAAACAGCAAAGAATGGCATGGTTTTCTAAAGTGTTTGCTCAATGATTTATCACTTATCTGTAGTTTTTAAAAATGTCATTGCAGATTGTGTTAGGGCCTGAATCCTTTGCAGCCTTGCCACATGTTTGTGTGATATAAACATACTTATAACCACAATTATCTGATGAAGCCCTGCAGTCTTTGACAAATGATTAATAACCACTGGCCTCAGTTCCCGCTGGCTCAGCCGGCCTGGCCAAGGCAATCCAGTCTGTCATTGTAACCCGTGTGGCTCCTCCGGACTGACAACAGTGGCATCGTGGTTTTTTTTCCTTTCCAATTGTCACGATGCAACCTGATGGGCATCTCTTCTATTGATTCAGATTTTTAGCTTCCCATCACAAAAGAGAGAAAATTCATAAATTAATAAAATTAAGTACAGAACTTTAATGTTCGTCTTCAAATGATTACGTTTGGATCATTTTAAAACAAGCAAGTTGAATTTTTAACAAATAGTCCTCCTTCAAACCAAGACATGACAGAGGACTTCCTTATTAACTAAGCAAACATTTTGTTTCTCAAAACACAGTGTTATTGCTGTTTCCTATTATCCAGATTTTTGCATTAAATCATAATGATTTGATTATGAAACCGAAGGCATCAGTTGTTGTTTTTATCATTTCTCTTGTTGGTTTCATGTAGGAAAAGATTCAGTACCTCTTCGTTCATAATCCCATTCCCACAGATTTCACAACTGCTCTTTTGAGGGCCCTGATGAGGACTGATGACCTGTCAGGCTGTTCACGAAGTTCCTCTAAGGCAGGGTGCTCTCTCTGTCTCTCTCTCTCTCTCTGTCTCTCTCTCTCTCTTTCTTATTCCCCAGCCCCACCCCACCCCACCCCAGTGTTATTCAGCACATGCCTGTCAAGGGCAGGAGTTTCTTCAGTATTTGAGTTGAGGGAGGATGTGAGCAAGTGAGTGGGGTATACACCTGGACACCATGGAAAATGAAAATCTTCATCCTAAATGTTAACCAGTTAAATTTCAGATTTTTTTTCTGTGTCTCTGCAAGAGTTGCCCTTTCCTTTCTTGGAAATAGGAGGACAGTGATATTGTTTCTTTCATAACCAGATAGAATCGTGTTTTGATGAGAGGCCCTGGTTTAGACAGAGTTTAAATCTGATTTTCATGCATGTACCACTCCCTGCTGACTCAAAGATCCATAGGCACTGGTAACCTTTGGAGTGGCCCTAGTCTTTAAGACATAATAATTAATAATCGTTTCTAATATTCCTATATTCCAATGAGTCTCAAATTTATATCTCCAGTCTTGACCCTCCCTGAATTCCAAACTGATCTATGTAGCTGCCATCATGCCTAAAATCCAGCCATTGAAAAGGTAACTTGATTTTCTTCTGCAAATCTTTCTTCACTTTTCTCCATCTCAGAAAATGCCATCATCATCCCTCCCCACCTTTGCTTAAGCCAGAAACCAAGGGTGATCCCTGTTCTGTCTCTCTGGATCCACCCAAATGTCCAGACTCAGCAAGTGTTCCCTTCAAACATAGTATATGCCAAATCCAGCCTCTTTTCTCTATTTTCCCTGCTATAGTCTGAGTGCAGGTTGCCATCACCTCTCACCTGGGCAAATGCCGTAAACCTCCAAACCTGCCTTCTCTGCTTCTCAGGCCTCTCTAGACTTTTCTCTGCTTAGCAACCAAGTGGTACTGACAGGCCTCAATCAGACGCAGGCATTGCTCCATGTAAAACTTCCCAGTGGTTTCCCATTGCCATTGGGACCAAATTATGCTTACTCTGGCTTTTGGGGCCCTGGAAGCCCACCTCTGGGATGGTGTTTCACACCACTGAGCACCTTGCTCACTCTCTACTGGTTCCTCTCTTTCGCTCTGATACTCCAGGCTTGGTCTCCACTTAAGAGCGCTGCCTGGATGGAGTTCTTTTACTCGAGGCTGCTTCCCAGCTGCCTCTTCCTATCAGTAGGGTCTCCACCTAAATAAACATCGTCTCCTCAAGAGGCCCTTTTTTAGCGTCCACCCTAAAATAGCTCCTCAGTCACCTTTAGCACATTATCTTTTTTGTTTTCATCACATTATTCCACTAACTGATATTTCCTTGTTTGTCTGTTTTCTACACACACACATGCACACACGCACACACACACACACACACTGCTCCTTCTCGAATGCTGAAATATAAACCGCATGCATGTGAAAATCTTATCTCACTTGTTCAGTGTCTCCCTAGTTTCAAGGGATACACTTGCCAAGCACATAGGGGACACATTAAAAAATAGGTGTCGAATTCAGTGAATCTCACCACTGAAAAATGAACTCCCCTCATCTCTCTACACTAGCTACGTCACTGTGTATCCCAACTAGCTGGAACCCATGAACACCTGTATACTTCTCTCCCTTAAGGGTCTCTGGTACTGGGCCGTATTCCCGTGTATAATAAATGAAACCTTTTACATGAGTTTGTTTTAAATGATCCCTTAAAAGATATCCCGAAGATAAAGTATCTGATATCATTTTACACCTCTAAATAGAGACGGTTTTCTAAAATTGAATGAGTGTGTTCACCCTGTATTCTTACTGGCAGTTGCTTCTTTGTATGGGCCTATTCACACCTATTTTATGGAGTCAAAGTACCACTTGCTAGAAATCTGGTTGGGTTGCCACTGCTGCAGAAGGTGTACTCGGTCCTCACCAGGCTAACAGCATCTGGGTAAGCAAATAGAAAAAAAGAAAACCATTATTTATATGCATACACATACATATATACACATTATATATATACATACAGGCATACCTCAGAGATATTGCAGGTTCAGTTTCAGACCACCACAATAAAGCAAAAATCACAAGAATTTTCAACTTCCCAGTGCATATAAAAGTTACGTTCCTGTAGTCCCAGGTACTCGGGAGACTGAGGCAGGAGAATGGCGTGAACCTGGGAGGCGGAGCTTGCAGGGAGCCGAGTCACGCCACTGCACTCCAGCCTGGGTGACAGAGCAAGACTCTGTCTCAAACAAACAAACAAAACAAGTTATGTTACTGTTCTTTAGTCTATTAAGTGTACAATAGCATTATGCCTAAAAAGAGCAATGTACATGCCTTAGTTTGAAAATACTTTACTGCTAAAAACTGCTAACAGTCACTGAGCCTTCAATAAGTCATAATCTTTTTGCTGGTGAAGGGTCTTGTCTGGATGTTGATGGCTGCTAAATGATCAGGGTGGTTGTTGCTGAAGGTTGGGGTGGCTCTGGCAGTTTCTTAAAGTAAGACAACAATGAAGTTTGCCACATCATTGGACTCTTCCTTTCATGAAAGACTCCTCTGTAGCATGCAATGCTGTTTGAAGGTGTTTTACCCACAGTAGAACTTCTTTCAAAATTGGAGTTAATATTGCCCAACCCTGCTGCTTTATCAACTCAGTGTATGTCATATTCCAAATACTTTGTTGTCTTTACAACTAGTGTTCACCTTGTCATCACCAGGAGTTATTTCATCTCAAGAAACCACTTTCGTTGCTTACCATAAGAAGCAATTCCTCATCTATTCAGGTTTGATCATGAGATTACAGCAATTCAGCCACATCCTCGAGCTTTACTTCTAACTCTAGTTGTCTTGCTTTTTCTACCACATCTGTAGTTCCTTCTGACACTGAAGTCTTGAACCCCTCAAAGTCAGCTATGATGGTTGGAACTGACTTCTCCCAAACTTCTGTTCATGTTGATATTTTGACCTCCTCCCATGAATCCTGCATGTTTTTAATGGCATCTGGAATGGTGAATTCTTTGTAGAAAGTTTTCAATTTACTTTGCCCAGATTTATCAGAGGAATCAGTACCTATGGCAGCCATAGCCTTACAAAATATATTTCTTAAGTAATAAGGCTTGAAAATTAAAATTACTCCTTGATCCACGAGCTGCAGGATAGATGTTGTGTTAGCTGGCATGAAAACAACATTCATCTCCTTGTACATCTTCATTGGAGCTCTTGGGTCACCAGGTGCATTGTCAATGAGCAGTAATCTTTTCAAAGGAGTCTTTTTTTTCTGAGCAGTAGATCTCAGTAGTGGGCTCAAGATATTCAGTAAACTATGCTATAAGCAGATGTGCCTTCATCCAGGCTTTGTTGGTCCTTTCATACAACACAGGCAGAGTAGGATTTATTAACAGCATCATTCTTAAGAGCCCTGGTATTTTGGGAATAGTCAATGACCATTGGCTTAAACTTAAAGTCACCAGCTGCATTCGCCCCTAACAATGGAGTCAGCCTGTCCTTTGAAGCTTTGAAGCCAGGCATTGACTTCTCCTCTAATAATGGAAGTCTTATATGTCATCTTCTTCCAATAGAAGACTGTTTTGTCTACATTGAAAATCTGTTGTTTAGTGTAGTCACCTTCATCAATGATTGTAGCTAGATCTCCTGGATAACTTGCTGCAGCTTCTACATCAGTACTTGTTGCTTCACCTTGCATTTTTATATTACAGAGATGGCTTCTTTCCTTATACCTCATGAACCAACCTCTGCTAACTCAAAACTTTTATTCTCCAGCTTCCTCACCTCTCTCAATCTTCAAAGAGTTGAAGAGAGTTAGGACCTTGTTCTGGATTAGGCTTTGGCTTAAGGGAATGTTGTGGCTGGTTTGATCTTCCATCCAGACCACTCAAACTTTCTCCATATCAGCAATTAAAGCTATTTCACTTTCTTACCATTTGTGTGTTCTATGGAGTAGTACTTTGAATTTGTTTCGAGAACTTTTCCTTTGCATTCCCATCTCAGCTTTTGGTGCAAGAGGCCTAGCTTTCAGTCTGTCTTGGCTTTAGACATGCTTTCCTCACTAAGCTTAACCATTTCTAGCTTTTGATTGAAAGTGAGAGATTCATGACTCTTCCTTTCACTTGAACACTCAGAGTCCACTGTAGTGTTATTACCAATAATTGGCCTAATTTCAATATTGCGGTGCCTCAGGGAATAGGTAGGCCCAAGGAGGGAGAGAGAGATGGGATGAATGGTTGGTCAAATGGAATTAGTCAGAATACACACTGCATTTATTAAATTTGCCATCTTATATGGGAATGGTTCCTGGTGTCCCAAAACAATTTAATAGTAACATCAAAGATCACTGTCACAAATCACCATAACAGATAGAACAGTAATGAAAAAAAAATGAAATATTGAGAGAATTTCCAGAATGTGGCACAGAGACACAAAGTGAGTCTATGCTGTTGGATAAATGACACTGATAGACTCGCTCAACACAGGTTGCCATAAACCTTCAATTTGTAAGAACTCAGCATCTGTGAAGACCAATATAGCAAAACACAATAAAACAAGACATGCCTGTGCGTGTGTATGTGTGTGTGTCTCAAGAGCTAGAGAGAGAGAACCTGAAGCTGTGGTGCTGGTGCTCTGTCAAATTTAAGTGACTCCCTACCCCTTCTGCTCCTGAAGAGGTCCTTAGTCAACTGTTCTACCTTTAAAATAGATGTTTAAAGCACTTGATACAAAAAGCATCCAGCTGGGCCTCTTTCCTTCCCGATCCACAGCAGAGGCAAGACCTCAGAATGGCTTTTCTAACCTCTTGAACCCTGCCTGCCCCAGAGAAAGCCTCAGTTAAGGGCACCCCTAGTAGCAAACTGAATCCCTCGAGAATCATCCTGCTTTCCACCTCTAACCACTCTTAACCCTGGACCACACCTTGCACAACTCCAGGGGCCACTATTCCCATGGGTTCCAGGAGACCCAGCAACTCACCAGCAGTACAATGTGAGTGGACAGTGCTGGGCAGCTGGTGGTCCCCTGACCCATCACTCCTCCTCCGTCCTCTGCTGTTGGCACTTGTTGATTTGCCAAGCCCACTTTCAGTCCTGGTTCTGATTATTTTTTCTACCTAAGTGAGTTTGCTCAAATTGTTTCCCTGGTCCAGTTACACTGACCCAGACTCCAACTAGCCATCACAACAAATGTCTCAGTCCCCACCCCTGCCCACCTGCCCAAGATTTATTTGTCTTCACTCGCTTCATGTTCATGTCTGGACCCACCTGCCTGAGCATCAGCTAACCCCACCCTCCAGTTTTCTTAGTTGAGACACCTGCCTCCTCTCTGACCAGGTCTCTTTTGGGCCACTGGGACTCAGCACTTCCACCTGAGTTCCCTAGTTTTCCCTTTGTACTCCATGAAAGAATCTAAAGGCATTACAACTAGGAAATACTAATTAATTTTCAGTTATTGTCATGTTTTCCAAAATTATAAACTCATGAAACCTATTCCCATAGGAGTTTCAGAACAATAGATCACATCTTCTCCCCTCACCTCCCAAAGGCTTCTAGACAGATACCTGAGGAATCTTGGCTTTTGCTATTACTTCTGCTTTTTCTACGTTTTGCTTTTTGGAGACAGGATCTCACTCTGTCACCCAGGCCGAAGTGCAGTGGCACAATCATGGGTCACTGCAGCCTCGGCCTCCCGGACTCAGGTAACTCTCCCACCCCAGCCTCCCATGTAGCTGGGACCACAAGCATAAGCCAAGCTAATTTTTTGTAGAAATGGAGTCTTGCCATGTTGCCCAAGCTGGTCTCGTACTCCTGGGCTCAAGCAAACCTCCCTCACCTTGGCCTCCCAAAGGACTGGGTTACAGACCTGAGCCACGTACCTGGCAGAATCTTGACATCTTTAACCAGTGGAGAGTGGGGCTCCTGAGATTACTGAGGCCTCCCCAGCAATTGTTATCCATCCAGATGCTAAACTCAGATTACCTTTGACCCACAACCCAGTTAAAGAAGGTAATTACCAAAGCAATTATTTACCATTTTAATGTTTTACAGTTTCAGCTTTTAATTAAAAGATTCAGCTTCCCCCTCAAGAGTAATGAGAACCTTTAAAAAAAATAGAAGTACTAATTCTAGTTTATAACAATCACCTCCATTCTGTCTGGAGGTGGGGAGGGAATGCAAGTTGAGGTGTAGGAGAATAAGATGAACCTTAAAAATGGAAGGCCGTAATTATTGTTAAATGGCTACAGCCAGTCACATCCGTAGACTTATGATCTCATTATTCATTTTGTAATCTAATGCAGAATAGCTTCCCTGTCATTTAAACAGGGAACCCCTACAGCATAAAATGATTCACAGAGTATTGTAGCTCATACTTTCTGCAATGCTCAATGAGTATTTTTTAAGTATCTACCATGTGACTTTAATGAGCTTGTGGCCTTCCAGCAGAGCCAGGTCCACAGTGCATGTCATTAGGCAGTGTGTGAGCATTTTCGGGACAGTGCCAAGGAGAGGTGGGCATCTACTGAGCCTGGCTCAGGAGAAATCACTGCTTTTCCAGAAGTGTGCCCACTCGCAGACTCTGCTTTTGTTGCCAGTTGGTTACTTCTTCCCTATAATTTTTTTGTTTCTCTTGTTAATGAAAAACATTACATTTTGAGTTGATTAAAGTTAAAACACATAATTTTTCACTCTAGCAATGCATTATGTTTACCAGCATTCACAGCTTCATATTATGCTGTTCATTACCATATAAAAACTCACTCAGTATAATTAATACCATAGAAGTCAAACATCCAGGCTGTTTAAGATGACTTGAAGACAAAATGGCAAACAACTTTTAGTGTATTTGACTGAATTAACACTATCATTATTGTTCTGTTGACTCTTCCTTGTCCATTGATTTTTAAAAGCCTTTAGCTCCTTTGCCATCCATTAAGA